AAACAATACTATGAAAATACCCAAGGCCCTGTCTTGGTGATAGCTGTCTTCGCAGTGTGTGAGAGGAAGAGCACTACAAAAGCTGGTTGACGTTAGAAGTGTTAGAACATTGATCTGCTTAGAGTAATACTGCTAACATGCTGAAAGTTTTCATTTTAACAAACTTTTCACTAAGCAGGATAGTTTATTGCATGTTTGCCATAGTGGAGTCCGGTGACAATAAACAAAAAATAGATCTTAGCATCTTCATTAGTTTTTGCACGCAAAGAAATAGGTTGAGTGCTATGATTGTCACAGAGAAAGAGACTTATAGAAGTCTATTTCATGCTAATGGTTTAAATTTCTTCCTTGGTTGCAGGTGCTTTTCCTAATCCCATTGAAGATTGGCTGGCAATTCAAAATGATCGCAAAAGTGCACTGGCTTCTGCTTGCCTGAAGAACAACCTTCTTAAATCAAGAAGCAAATTGGATTCTCGTGTTGCAAACCAGCTCTTTGTGGAGCACAAACATAAATTTATCTACTGTGAGGTGCCCAAGGTAGGCTGCTCCAACTGGAAGAGAATAATTTTTCTTCTCCAAGCAGGCTTGAATATGGATGCCTCTGAAATTGAGCACGACCACATCCACCAAACCTCGCTGATCAAAAAGCTGGTGGCTTACCCTCCTGCCATACAAAAGGAATTTCTGAACAATTACACCAAAGTGATGTTCACCAGACATCCCTTGGAACGGCTGGTTTCAGCTTACAGAGACAAACTTCTGCACTCTGAGCCGTTCTACAGTATCACTGTTGCTAATGAGATTAGAGCAATGTTCAGGAAAAACAAAAATTCTTCTGAAAAAGTGAGTTTCCAGGAGTTTGTCAACTTCATTACAGCAAAACCGCCAAATACTCTTGACATTCACTGGAAACCAATGTCTCTGCTCTGTGATCCTTGCAACATTCACTATGATATTCTGGGGAAGTATGAAACTCTTGGGTTAGATTCCGAGCATGTTCTGAAGGTCATTGGAGCACCAGAGAGCCTGCACTACCCCAGCTTGAAGAGGTATGGCTCAGAGAAACGAACTGATGGTGATATCACCTTGGAGTATCTCAGACAATTGAACTCGGAACAAATGGAGAAGATAAAAAAATTGTATCAAATGGACTTTTTCTTGTTCAGCTATGCTACGAAATATGAGGATTATTTTTCTCTGAATGACTAGTGTAGGTTAAACAAAGAACAGTTTCCTTTGTACAAAATGGGTTTAACTTGTCCTCACAGGTGATTGATAGGTGGGTTGGTGACTGTCTGCTGCTCAGATTTTACTGGTGTTTGGAGACATGGTTTATCGTCCTAGAGCACTCTCATACCAAATCCCTGCCATGAGCTGTTGTTCTATGCAGTACTTTAGCTATATGAAATAGTCTTTCTGTTGATTATTAGTAGCATATGTTTATTTTGTAAAGACTGTTTATAAATGATAGATTTTGGTCTGTTGGTAAGAGATGGGGGAAGGTTGAGTGTTGTGGTTTAACCCCAGCTGGCACCTA